TAACAATTCATCTTATTTTTTTAAAAGAATCTGTTTGCATAAAGTTTTGTTCTATTAAAATTTGCACAATTTTAAATTAAAAAATTCATTAAAATTTTCCCAGATTTAATTTATCTTTTAAGAAATAATTTTTTAAATATATGCAACTACAAATTATTATTAATCAAAGACTTGATATTGTATTGAAATTATATCTTTCTGATTAATATTAGCATTTTTTATTTTTAAATCTAAATCAATACTTTTTCGAAAATATACTTACATGATTGAAGTATATAAAGTTTTATATATTACAGAAATCTTTGAACTAGGTCAAATTTTACTTGATTACTTTAGTGATGAAAATCCGTTACTATTATTAATCTTCCATTTGACAAAAGAAATGAGCTTTTAGCTTAATTTGTCGTGACTAAACTAAATCTGGTCCATATGCAGTTATAATTTATCGATATTTTGCTAAAATTATGAATATTTCATTTAAAAATGAATTATCACTGCTCAAAGCATATGTTTTATGAGATTCTGGCAATATAGCAGCATCTGTCTGACCCATCAATTCATGTCTTACAACAGATTCATTCAATCAAATAAAACCATTCAAAGTCTCTTTTCAACACAATGATTGCATTGTTTCAAGCAATCAATCTATTTTCAAACTTTAAAATTGTAATAATAAATATAATAATTTTGAAGTTTGAAGACGAAATAAAATTATTAGATATTAATCGGTAAAAGAATTTCGAATTTATTATATTATTACTTTAATTGCAAAAATCATTTAAAGATATGACAGTGAAACAAATTTCTTTGTGCTTGCAATACTTTTATAGTAAATAATTTAAATTACTAATGATTGCTTTTTAAACTTAATATTTTGCTCAAAATTTCAAATTTTTTCCAGTATTGTTTGAATTAACTCGTTGAAACAAAATACTTCTACAGGTGAAAAGCCTCATAAATGTACGGTATGTGGAAAAGCATTTTCACAGTCATCTAATTTAATTACGCATACACGTAAGCATACTGGTTATAAGCCGTTTTCGTGTGATATTTGCGGGCGAACTTTTCAACGTAAAGTTGATCGTCGAAAACATCGAGAAAGTCATCATTCTGATGAAATACGTGAACATCAAGGCTTGTTTTCTAATCAAATCAGTTAAAGTAGTAATTGATTGATGTGAACTAAATCTTGAAAAATAAAACAGAAATTATCGAAATTTGATTTAGTTTTCAAAGTTTCACGACTTAATGTGCATGTATATCAACTAGATCTATTACTGCAAGTATATGATTTGCAATAAAAAAACTAAAAAATGCTATTTAAAATTATCACAACTTTAAATAATATTTTGATAATATTTTTAATATTTCATCTGAACAGTTCTAAAATTTTTTATCTTTGTGAAAAATTAAATTGTTTTTCCGTTCATTTATAAAAACTTTTTTATTTACTTAATGATAATTTGAATGCATAATTTAATATCGTGATATCATTAAATTATTATTTACTCTATCACATACTTATCAATAATGCTTGGGTAATTTAGTAAATCGAAATAGTATGGATCGATCTATTTCATGTGAATTTCTAAATTTGATGGGCCGTACTTCGTTAGAAATTTTGGACCGTCTCCGATTACCGTCTACTGCAATGCTGGACTCGAAGTCAGGGCGTTTGCCTCTTCCAGCATCTGATGAAGCACTGAATCTTAGTTCAAGATAGAAAATTACACAAAATTTAATTGAATTAATTCATTTCTGCAACTATTTAAATCTCATAAAGCTTTTATGAGTAAAAATTTTGATTGCGGTGAATTTTATAGTTTGAAAGTATGTGCTACTGTAAGACCGGTGTTTGTAGATATGTGCTTTGATTTTACTCAATATTTTTAATATTGGGTTACTGTAAATTTTTTCGATACAAATTGGAACTCAGTTAATGCTAGCTAGCACTTTAATTTATTCTTAATTAAGAGATTGAAGGATTTATTAATTTTTAACGTATCAGGTAGTTTGTGTTCTATTTTTCACACATACAAAATAAGTATTCAGTATGCAAATAAAATAATTTGTGCAAATAAATATTTCTGTCCAAAAAAAATTTAAGCTTTCATCAAACTGATTGCTTAAAGAGCATAATCGTCTAATTAATAATAATTAATAATCGCAATGTTTATTTTACTTTTGAATAAATTGTAGTTAATGGAATTGCTATTCAATTTTTATTGTTTACCTTTCGTAAATGACTTCTATTCCTCTTAACTGTATACTGTATTATTTCCTAAGATTTTTTATTTTAGCATATTTGCGTAAAAGATAAAATGAGAATTTTATTCATTATTTTTTTGAAAATAAAATAGCATTGACTTTTTACAGCGTATCACCAATTAAGTATTACATTAGAGTTCACGTGATCTGTGTCACATCTTTTTCCTACTTAACAGCCTTTTTTTTCACTTTTGCTCTTTGCATTTTTAAGTTGGATTAAGCAACGCACACTAACACGCAAAATTGTTACATAAGGCTGGTTTAAATATGCATTAATAACAGTGCGTGTCTGAAGATATCTTTGCAATATTTCTTAAATTTAACTTTTATTTTCTGTCTTTTTATCTTTACTAATTTTTTAACAACTTTGAATGATTTAAGAAAAAGTGAAAAAATTAGTAGCTATTAAACGGATAGATTTGATTACTAGTCAGTAATCATTAAAGATATGGCTGATCATCATCACAAGGTAACTAACTTATGGTAAATTAAACCTGCTTTTTAACGCTATCTTTGAGTTATCTATAAATATGTTCACTTACTCTAGCATACTTAAATACTTAAAATTACTAATTATATAAGCATTTTTTCACAAATAAACGAATGTCTGGGCAAGGGAATATTGCAGTAATTTATTCAAACAAAATACGAAATGAAAAAGTACGATATTTTCAGACTTGCTTATATCAAATAAATAAAGAACGAGATTTGCGTGGATATTTTGTAAATTGCTCGTAACCTGTCACAGCTTTTCACATTATGCTCATTTAATTAATCCTATAGATTTGTTCTAAATGTCAAATCTTGCTTCTATCACAACTCTTTTTTAGCATCCGTTCTCATCTTCTCGTTTCATATTTAGCAGATTTGCAAATTACTAAAATCGGGATATTTACTTAATAGGGATTACTTACTACTCAATTGAATTACCAAATTAATTTTGTTATTTAAATGAAAGTAGAAGCAGACATTTACATTTACAGCAAAATAAGCCACAACAAATTTTGTTTCAAAATTAATGACTAAAATGTAAAATTACTTGTAATTTGCTTAATACTATAAATTTTTCTAATATTTTTAGTATTCCAATTGAAGATTTGTAACAGGTCATGACCTTTAACCACCTCTGCAGAATTCTATCTTTCATGAAACATTTAGATCTAAACACTAGATGGAATAAATATTAAGATCAAAGCTAGTTTTGATCGTCATTAGAAAAATTTTGTTACTGAAGATTAGTAAAAACCTCAAATATTTCTTCTAGAACATATATTCAGGTAATACCTTACTTTCTTGTCTGTCAAATTTTGTTTTCAACAATTTAAATTTAAATTTTGTAATTGCAGTAAAATAAATCTGTTCTATTTTCACTAAAACTTAGCTGCTAATTTCGTTTGTATACTTCTTTTTGTGAAATTTACACCGAACAAATTTAAAATTAAGTTTAGGTGCTAAATTACAAGCAATCATAAAAATGTCATTTCCAATAAAAATATTAAATTTTCTTTCGCTATTATGCTTATAAATTATCGGAACCAAAACTTTATTGAAGCGGAAAAATCCTAGCAAATAGCCATCCAAAAAAAATCCAACTAGCAATACCATCAACTCATTGCTATTATTACTAGCCCACAAGTTTGGGAAGCAATCAAGTGAATTGCTTTTGCAAAATGAACTACCATCAACCATGCTTCATACTTGCGCTTAATAACTGCAATAATAACAATAATAAGGATATTATCAGTCAATATCCATAATTATGTAAGTAGGAATGAGGTATCTCTAGTGCTGGATATGTATTTGTGAAGATATTCAGAATTACAGTAATTCATTATCTATGCGTACATGAATAAATATTGAAGGTACTTGCTTGCTTAACAAAGTAAACTGAATTCTCTGATTTAGAATATTAAATAAATTAATATTTAATATCTAAACTGATGAAGTTTAGAATTCCCAAACTGCTAATCTTTTTCTTTCTGTTTTGCTATTAAGTGACATTGAATGAACAATGAAAGATTTAGGATTCAAAAAAAAGAAAGAAAGATGACTGAAAGCTGATTAGATTTGCGGAAATTAATCTGAAATAATGAAAATTCCTCAATAGTACAGCATGAAATGCTTAAAAACGTATTGCAACAAAAATAAACCTAAAATTTGCATAATTTTTTATATTATACAGCTTGAATATTTAATAAATTATCTCGTCCAAATTTTTTTTTGCATATTTTAAAATAAAAAATTAGCTAACTTTATCACTTCTGGTTACTTTCATGAAAAATTTTCAAATTTTCAACATATTTGTGGAGGTTTTTTTACTTTTACTGGAAATAGTTTTGTTAAAAAATTATAAAGAAACTAAATTAGTCCAAATTTTGCAGCTTAAAAATACGAAAATCTAATTAGCAATTAGACTAATTTGAAAAAATCATTATCAAAAGTAAGATAATAGATGATTATGATAAACCATTGTTGTTCATATGCAAATTAATATTTGAACTTATAGAATCTAAATTACAAAATAAATTCTCTACATGCATTCTTTTGTGTCTTCCCTTGAGATTTATTCAAATATACGATAACACTATGTTTAGATCAATTAATCGAGCATTTAAGCAAGCATGCAAAGCTTACAACAATTTTACCTCCAAAACTTCTTAATTCTTCGATGTATTTCACTTAAATCTTATCAGTATTACGCGATATTGTACAAATTTTGATCAATTCATCAATTTAAATTTTAAAAAAACTAAGAAAAAGTATTACAAAAGTTAAACGCTATCTAAAAAGCCGTGCTTGAGAAAAAGTTTTGTGAAGTTTTTTTATATTTTCCCTTATATCCTCAACACGAAATTACAAATTCGGTATTATATTTAAAGAATTTTGTTAAGAAGCAAATACTTTCAATGCTTATTCATTAATTTATTAATTTGGAAATTTTGCTAATAATTATTAATTTCGAGAAATTTTCTCAAGTTTCATTTTCATCAATTTCATATTATAATTGTCAATTTTTTTGTAAAATTGAAGGTATTAAAATTAATGCTAAGATTAATTTATTTGTAATATTTGCAATCATTGAAATTCATTTATTCCTACTGAGTCAAGTCAAGAATGAATTTTAAAATGAATTAATGAATAGACAAAAACAGAATATGATTTGTTATTTGATGGATTTTGTGTTGAAAATCCATCTTTCTGACGACAATCAGAAAGAGAGATATGTTTTGCGGGGATATTTCTCGAAGTAATCCCGAGAGATTTGGCTGAATCAATCAGCTTTTGCCTTCAACTCAAATTCAATCCAATCTCCGGTCTGGCCTTTTCTTCCAACTAAGCAGTAATACCTATACATCTTGTACATAACGAGCAAAACTTGCTATTTTTGCTTTAATTCATCAAAAGGGACGCTGCAATTTTTTAAAGCATCCTACACACCAAAAATTTATCCTAATCAGTTTTCATTCTCTATAAATTATAGGTTCACTGACCTTTTGACCTTTACATCTTAATATTTTAAGCATGCGTCTTTAGTTGACTTTTTTGAAACACAAAAGTTTAAAAACCAAAATTTTTCTACAAAAAAATAAAATGCTTTGCGATTTTGACTTTTTTATCTCAATTTTTCTAAGAAAAATTCAAAATTTCAACTTTTTTCCGGAATATACTGAAAAATCCGGCAAGAAATGTCTGAAATCGACTCTAAATATGAAAATAAAATTAAAAAATAAATAGTTTATTCACATTAAAATGGAATAAATAAAATTGAGAGCAACGATTAAGACTGGACAAAGGCAATCATGTCTATTTGACCTATTTGTTTGGATAAAATTCGCAACAGATGCTCGTGGCCTTTGGAAACACACAGAACTTCCATTATTTATCATTATTTTTATTTCCAGGTGGAAAACAACTTTATTTTTATTTTGTAGTATTAATTTTATGTGGTATGAAGTATGCATGTCGTAGAGTTAATTTCTTCAGCTTGCTCAGTAATTTTTAAAAAATTCAAAAATTTATCTTTTTTTAAGAATTCGTTTTTCTTTTTTAATATGTACAAAAATAAATTTATATCCAAATTTTAACATTTTTTATTGGAAGCAAAAATCTTGCATATTTTAATTAGCAGTACAAGAAATTTTAATTAAACTGATTGATGTCAAAAAGAAGATATCAAAAATGCAATACACAAGTAAAGTAATTTGCATAGCATATACAGGTAATTATATAAATATTTGTGAGTTCTGCGGTGAATTAATTAATAATGTGCGCATTACTCTTTAGAATAATTATAAGTAAATAAGTTTCAATTCTCACAAATCATTTTTTAGTACTTAATTCTCAATTAACTTTAATTATTAATAATCAACACAAAGCGTATTTCTGCATATTCTTATGCAAAATCTTAGAATCATTAAAAAAATCAGTTCAAAAATTCAACACCTTTAATAGAAAAATAACTTTGAACTGTTCCAAATTGCAAATTCAACTTTTACAAAAATAAAATCTCTCCCATGCTTACAAGTTAAAATTACTAAAAACTGAATTACTGATGTATTTAATAATTTTTCAAAGAAACTGAACAATCATTATTATTTTTTAACTAAACAGCAAATTTTTGAGCAGTTTAAATTTCAAAAATTATTTTTGAATTTTTCAGCAAAAGTTCTTCAAATTCATTTTAAAAGTTTACTGTTTACTTATTTGTAATTTTTGTTCAAACTTTTGCATAATTAAGTTTTTATCCTTTTTAATTACATTTGTTTAATTTCTGATTTAGCTGATTCTTTTCGATTTCATCGTCAAAATTCGATAGATAACTAATTTCAATCTTGTTGACATTTAATAAAAGCTATTTATATTAGATGTAATTTAATTTCGTTTGTTATCGAGAATAGACTGACTACTTTTAGATGATAATGTTGCAAACATTTAATCCAAAGTACTTGCTGAAAAGTTCGTACAAAGGTCATACAATAATCGTAAAAAGTTTTAATCCATAAATATATAGCTCATTCTTTTCATAATTTATTTAATTATCTCATTTATTGAAAATAATTCTATTACTTATAAACATCTCCATATTTAAGTGAAAGATGAGATACGGTAAAGTTAACAAATGCGTCATTCCCGTCATTAATACAGTTTCTTTGTTATAAATACTAAACATGATTGATGTATAAATTTGATTTTAACTATTGAGGAAGAAAAAGTGTTCAGGTAATACTACAAAAAACGATAATATTACTTTACTGACCGATATTTTTGGTTAATTTTTTCTTAGGATTGAGATATGAATATAAATGATTACACAACTACGGTATTTAAAGCATTGATATAATTTGGTAAGCAATGCTGGCTGATACCATATACAAAATTAATATAAAAAATCGATCTGAACATTCAAGAAGTCAAAGGTAAAGCTCGGAAAGTAAAATTTAATAGTGAAATCAAATATTATGCTGCGTTGATTGTACAAACGGATGGTAACAATGTAACAGGAAGCTTTTAAAATGTATATGTATTTAATGATAGATTAATCACTATTTTTTAACAAAATAGCAAGTATTGAGCATTGAAGTCAATTACTTGATGTTTTTTTATCTCACGTAATATTTTTTTTTACGTCACCTAAATCAGCATGTAACAACTTTCACTTTCAACTACGCAAAATAAAACAAAACTTTGTAAACGATTTTTTATCCGAGATAACACATTTATTAGGACTAATCGGTTTGGAATGCAGTGTAAAGATAAAATTTACCGAATTAATCGTTGTTTGTTAGGGTTTAACCTGCAAATAATTAATTAGATAACATTACTGTGACTTTTTACGTCAATTAGTATAAGCAAACAAGAGAATTGTATTAATATAACTTTCATTACTTTTAATACAAACAAAATATTTGAAAGAAATATCTTAGCTGCTTTGTTTACGTGAAATCTGACGTGTGATATATTATCTTTTATCTATTTTAAGGACAGAAATTTGTGATAATAAGAAAAAATGGCAAAAATAAAACCCGTACATGAAAATTAAGAAATTATCAGTAGACAAAACTGATTTGGAAATTAACAGTAATTGAATCAAAAATGTTAAACATATTTTGAGTCTGTGAAATAAATGGAATTTTCTACTTCTGAACGTAATTAGATTATACAATTTACTGAATTAACACTTACAAAATTTCATTTTTTAATTCCACAAGATTTTCAAATTTATTCTTTTTGATTTTTTATGTTCGATTCGAACTCATTTCTTCTGCTGCAAAAGTTCTATCTGTTGCTGATATCTCTTCAAGTGATATTGTAGCATTTTTCGATCTTTTATTTTTTTTAGCTTTTGAACTTCTCGATGTTGTTCGTGAATTTGATTGAGAACTTCTGAGAGGATTAAATTTTTTGTCTCTTTTGGATACTTGTTGATCTGATCTAACTTTGGAATTAATTTGAGGCATTTTTCCATTTCCTTGTTGTATTTTCCGATTTTTCCAACTTCTTGATGACTTTTCTGCCAGGTTATTTTTAATCTTAGCAGATTTACTTGAATAAGATAAATGATTTGAATTTCTTCTGCTTTTTTGGTTTGATCCATTTGATGAAATTATAGATTGATCATTTGGTTGATTGTTTTTAATCAACTTTGTTTTTGTATTACTTCTTATTTTTGCTTTCTTTTTGCTATTTGACTGAAATGAAGAAGTTAAAATTTTACGATTTGATGCTTCTTTTTTGCCATCTGAAGATCGTTTCTTTAATTTCTCTGCTTGTAAACTAGAATTTGACTTAGTACTTGAACTTGAACCTTCACTTCTTGAAGCTTGCAATGGTTGATTGTTTGCTAATTTTTTTTGTCTACTTTTCATTTTACGTTTATTTCTGGAAGCTTTATGCTTGTCATGACGTTTTTTTTCAGAATCCAATCGAAGAGATATTGCTTTGTTAAGATTCTCTTCCAATGACCTTTCATTAGTGTTTTTTTTACCATTCTTCACAAGGTTTCCTTCACTTTTTTGATCCAGAAGATGCGAAGTACTTGCATGCTTTGAAACTCTTTCACTTGGCACTGTCATTTCTGTTTTTAATGCCTTTTCACTTTTTAGGATATTTGAATTATAATCAGGTATAGCAGAATCCTTGCCTACCTCATTTAATAAATGGCGCTTGCTTCGATCATGCACTCGTCCACTTCTGTGCCTCAAACGTTTTCTACGTGATTTTCGATTTCTGCGTGAGTTTGATTCATGTATGCTATCAGATTCTTTTAAAAATCCATTCAATGATTGTTTTCTATCACGTTCAGAACTTTCACTTGACCTATTCGAGCTGCTCAACGTAGCCGATTGTTCTATGCTTAAAATTTTATTTATTAAGCATTTATTTTCTAGATTTGAATTGCTTTAATAAATATTTCACTCAATTAAAATTATTTTTTATTCAAAGAAAATATTGCTCATTAAAAATTCAGCAAGAGATAAATTTTGCAATTTGTCTACAATAAAATTATGACGTCGTTATACTTTTAAGATTCAGGATGATGCATATAACACTGCACAATATATTTAGAAAATAAAAATATAAAGTATTTAAAATTGTTACAGTAAATTTGTACCTGCCTTCATCATAATTAGATGTTGATGATACATTTGAAGCTTTTGATGATGATTTTTTTGAATTCTGAAGTTAAAAATCCTTCCATTAAAAGTAGATTTAAACTCCATTTTTGATAAAAACATTCAATAATTAATGCAATCAAATAGCATTCTTAATTTTCAGTACTATTTCAAATTATTATTATGCAAAATTCAGTTATCCAATAACCATTTCTTGCAATCGCTGTTGTAAATCATCTTCAATCAAATTCATCGCAGACATAGAATTTTTTCGATGCTTCTTTTCTTGTTTAGAAGATCTATTAAAGTTTCCATCACGAGCTGTTGAAATAGATTCTTGCGATCTTAACAGTCTAATTATTTGATCTGATTTGAAAATAACAAACGGTATAAGACAAAAACAAGTTTTTTACTAATAATATATTAATTATTTGAGTTTTGGTTGACCATCATTATCATCATCATCATCATCGTCATCATCGTCATCATCATCATCATCGTCATCATCATCATTTTTTAAAAATTTGAATGAAGATTTAACAAAAAGATATTGGTAATGTGTTAATTTTATTTATTACAAACTATATTTATTCTAATTTTCTAGAAAAAACAATTATGCTTTTCAAGTAAGCGAAATTTATCAGAAAACTTTTATGACCTTTCCTCTGAACTTATCTCTCCAATTGGTTGTGTTGCTTGCTCTTGTACTTCACTCGTTTGTTGTCGAACTTCTAAGTTAAACTAATGTACTCAAATAAATTTTAAACTTTATTTGAAATATTAATCTTGAAACTAAAACAAAATGATATAATCCAATTGCATAAAATTAATTTCATTGCATTATTTTTGTTTTGAATTAGAATTAAGCTTAATTTTGTACTAAAGGTTATTGGATAAATGAATTTCGCATGAAGTTTCATAAAATTCATATCATAAAACTTAACTGAAATTAAGCGTACGTCGGAAAAATTAGCTTTGACAAAATTCATATCATAAACTTAATTGAAATTAAGCTTACGTCGGCAAAATTAGCTTTCACAAAATTCATATCATAAACTTAATTCATATTATAAAACTAAAACTCTTTTTAATACGAAATTAAGCTTACGTCGGCGTAATTCTAATTCACGTTGCATTTGTTGCTTTCTTCGTGTTCTTGCACAATGAAGTAGTCGAGAAGATCGTTTTTCTTTCATTGAATGACTTTTTACCAAATCATAAAAAATATAATTTTTTATGCAAGAAAAAATCAAATCATCGTAAAAAGTTTTTATAATAAAAATTACTTCTATTCCTGTCACTGAATCTTCTCTAGATGAAACTGTTCTATCACTTCTGAAAGCAGCTTCGTATTAGTATTCATAATGCAAGATTCAGTAAAGATGCACCACACACGAGTTACAACAAAACTTTACTGTAAATTTTGCATTTATTAAAAAATTTACTTATCTCAAACTAATATCTTTTTTAGCAAATTACTATCTAAATAAAATCTTTCAAACATTTTTTCACAAAAATTTCAACAAAATTTTTTATTTGCAGCTTACATCAAAAAAATAATAATTTATCTTTTGAAAATAATTTATCTTTTTCTTTTTTCAAAAAACTCAAAAAGAATTCGCTCTACTTTCTTGCTAAATTTTTATTACTTATATTTTCAACTAAGTATGTTAGTTTCTAAATCTGAACTTTAAGACATGAAAGTATTAAAAACTAAATTTTGGTCTTCAAGTTGAATTAATTGTTTAACCAGTAAGACTAATAGATCATAATTTTTGTAAGCAATAAATATTTTGTTAGTATCCTTATTTTATGCCATCACTATTGTGTATAGCAATAATTTATAAGGCAAAACAATATGATAATTTAAGCAATTATCACATAATAATAAAAAATAAAAAGTAATTATTATAATCTGACGAAGGATTAACCTCGTGGAACGTCTATGTTTTCGGTTTTTCATTCTTTTACTGCTTCCTAAAAATATTTGCTTAATCTTTTTGTATTTGGATAATTTTTCAAGAATTCAGAATGTAAAATTATGATAATTATTAGTAAATCTTACTTTCAGATAATTCTTGCGTTTTTTCACTTCGCAAACTTTCTAAAACAACAAAGTTTACTTCAAAGCAATTAATTTTTGTAAGCATTTGCTACAATTCTGATTTTATAAGATATTTAATTAATATAACGTAAACTTATATTCCTTCTTTAACTTCAGATATTTTTACAACTCACAAATATATTCACAAATTTCAACTTGTTGCTGTGTAACTTTCTTTGTTGATGTTAATTGTTTTACATAATTTTATTTTTAGACTAAAATCATTTGTATTAAAGCTTGGATTTGCCCACCAAGTTCTTTTTTTCTTCTTGTCCTTGGACTTACTGATAGCTCACGCAATTTATCGTGAAAAGATAAAGGCTTAACTTGATATTGCTTTTTGCTTTGCTAAAATATTTTCTTTAAGTCAAGTTTGTATTTAAACTTTTGTAATTTTTTGATTAAAAAATTCAAGCAAAATTTTTTTGATTAATATTTAAGGCATAAATATTAAATAATTGATGGAGTTGATGACAAAGTTATATTATACAAAAAATTATCTTTGCCAAACTTTTGGTTGATTTTTGTAATATTATCTGAATTGAAATTTTATTTGTTCAATTTACATATAAGAAATAGTCTTTAGTGTTTTTGCACAAATATTTTTATCAGCAAACTTTATCAGTTTAAAACTTTTAGAGTAAACAGCTACAAATGTCAGTAAAGCTTTTCAAAAGTGATATGAAAGAAAATTTTTTTTTCTATCATTAATATTCATTGTATGAGAAGAAGAATTTTTCACTTTTAAGTTTAATTTTTTAATTAAAAAATTCAGAAAATTGATTCAATTAACAAAATCGATTTCTGTTTATGCTTTAATTGATTTAAGTTTTAAGTTTAATTTTTTAATTATTACTAGAGACTATATTATTAAAAGTGTTAAGACTTGCATGAACTGGCAAAGCTCGATCGTTATGACTGCGCTTACTAAGATTGTTACCATTATGATGATGTTTTGCTCTGCTACTGATCTTATCAATTTGATGATTGGGTTTATCATCTTGATGATAAGCCTTACAACCTTGAATATCAGTCTTGTAGTTTTGCCTATTATCTCCATCATCACTTTCCCTGAATTTCTTACGCAGCATTTCTCGAATGTTTTGGGCATCCAAACTTTTTACATTTTGAGGCTCAGGCGTTGCATATTTATACTGTAATACCTTTGTTAACAAACTACACAGAAACTTTTAATTTTTAAAAATTTGGCAAAAAAAAAAACAATTTTTCACAAAGCAACTTAAAAATTTTCAAATTTAACATCAAATTGGATGCTTTTACCGCTTTACGAGATTGTTCACTTCTATTTCGTTTTTCACGTTCATCTGCATATAATGCGTCAAACATGCAAAAAAAAAGTGCAATATAAGTTTGCAGTATTTTCATGATTTACAAATAGAATTGCAGTAAACTTTTATTGTTTTTGTCATTCAAAAAAAAAAATTTTGTTATTTTGCAAACTTTGAAATAAAGTTTTAATTCATTTTGTAATAACCATAGCGTGGTAGTTTTTTTTTTAATTCTATCACTAAGAAATTATGAAAAGTCAAAATTTAAAAAAAAATGTTGTACAAAAATAATTGCCGCTAAATTTATATATATTATTCATAGCCGTATTTTGTGTAGACGTAATTTATAAATTTTATTTATAAGCATAATGAGTATAATTAATTTTTTCAATCTGAAATTAGTCTGGTCTATAAATATTTGAAAAATCCATGATATCGTGTCAAGATTTTTTTCTTTCTATATTTGTGAACAAATACAATTCAAAAATTTTTGCAAAAAGTTTACACGTTGATGCTTTTACGTAAATATGAGTGAATGAAATGAAAATAATACTTACTCTTCGCCTCTTCCCGGTTCAAGACCTAAATAAACTAATAGAATTATGTAAATTTGAACAATAGAAAATCTGTTCATTAAATTAAATTTAATTTAATTTAATCTGTAAGCTAAAAATAATTTCGTATGAGAGAATGAGGAAAAAAATGCGTTCAAAATTAGTAATTATAAAGCGTTACTTACTTTACTAAGATAAAGTTATCTTTTTTCATTTATTAAATAATAACAAAGCAAAAATACTTATTTTTTGAGTATTTTTTCATTTCAGGCATTTTGCTTATATAAGTTTTTACTTAAATTTTTTTCAATTTTTTAAAGACTTGTTAAAAAAATTAGCAATTTTACAAATCTTTGAATGTTTGATATGTGATGACTTTTGAAGTTTAAAATAAATTATGAATGATATATGCTGCAAAATCGAACCTTCTTGTTCACGTAAACGACGCAATTTTTCTAAACGAGCCATTCGTTCTCGATGTGTGTCTGATTCCGAAAGTTCTCTTTTACGAATTCCACTTTTACACATCCAAAGAACTACTATTGATATGAACCAACACAGTAATATCGAAACAAATCCTATTTAGAATGTATTTATTTTGTTTGACAATTTCTTCCAGACAATTTTTTAAATCTCAAAAAAATTTTCTAGATTTGGAATCAAAAAATGTATTGATTCTATTGCTAAAAACTAAATTTATGAAGAACACATTCTGTTGACATGAATTAATTGGATTAATTCGAATGATTGAATTTTAAGAAATTTCAAGAAAAACCGTTTTTTTAATTTTAAGCTTCTAATATTTATCTCATCTTGAGATCAGCTTTATATTTTCAAATTTTGAAGTAAACATTTTTGCAAGAACTAAGTATTAAGTGTGTTCAAATTGGATTTTACAGAATTGATATTACTTGTAATTATTATTATCTGGGACATTTTTAATTTATATATTTATAAGATATTATATTGCTTAAAATCCTTCTAATTCTTGATCTTGATCTTGATCTTGATCTCTTCTTGAGTACTGTGTTATAAATTTGAGTTTGTCGAATCCAAAAATAGCTCTTAATAAATCAATAGTTGTAATAATCAATGATTATTAATGTCGGAAATCGAAACCATAATATCAATCATCTACAAGAATCATCCAAACTTAATTTCTAACCCATCCATCCAACATTTTCCATATTAAAATTTAGGCACATTAAACATCCGCAAAAAATGAAGATATAAAATAAATCAGTGTTCCGAATTATTCCTTCTTATATATGGTAGGATATGCAAATTTTAGCATTACATAAATGTATTTATATAATTCCGATTTTTGTGGTATTGAACATCACTCTATGCTAATTTTGATACAATTTTTATAGAAATAAATACAACATGTGAATTATTTGCAATTTCTTATTTCAAAGTAAAAACTTAAACATTAAAAAGAACTTATTTCAAATAAGATGTGAAGTAATACCTTTTGTCATACGAAAAATATGCAAATTCATTTGCAAAAACTAATTAACATTGTAATTAATTATATTTTAATTTGTTTTTTTCATTTTCAGATAAAGTGATAATAACAGATCACAAATTTATCTTAGTAAAGAAGAAGATAAATTGCATGAAATATAATGATAATAAACAACGATAAACAAATTGATATAAAGTTATTCATTAATATCGATGTATGTATTATATATTCTTATCTGAAGAATATATCAAACAAAGTCTGTAACATATCGCTAGATCTAAGTAAGAGATATTCTTGATGAATAGTCTCTCTACATTTATATATACATACAATAGTTATTAACAAAAATAGGATTTTTTCAAGCGTAGTAAAAATATAGTAAAAACTAAATACACATTTTATGTAAGAATTAAAGAACGATAATACTTGACACTGTAATTAATTTAGGTTCTAATTAACACCGAAAGTAATTCTAATTCCAATTAACACTACAATCCTATTCAAATTCAATCAGAAAACTTTTTTGATTTTTGGATATTATATGAAAAGTACTTTATATTTGCTCAAAAATTGAAAAAAAATTCTGAAAAATTAAATTTTATAATTCAACTTTTGACAATTGTAAATCAATGAAAGCAGCAACATCTCGCAAAATATCCAATTTTCTACGGCTAATTGGCATGTTCAGAATTCCATGATAAGCTTTCTGGTAATGCTTCCAATGCACAGAAACGTTAAATGATTTCAGATGCTTTGCGTAGAGTACTGCTTCATCTCGCAAGATGTCATATTCAGTTGTAACAATCATTGTTGGACTGAGACCTTCTAACTTTGTTGCCATAATTGGTGCTAGATTAGGATCATTTACGTACTTTTCCATTGCTTCACATAACTAAAAAGTAAATAATATTTTGAAAATAACATTCGAGCAAAAAAAATGCACTAAAGACATAGTCTTTAATATTTTATTATTTATATTTAGTGACTTAGATTGCTAATCTATGCACTCATATAAAAATTAATTAATTAGTAAAGTAAAAACTTATATCTTTTTGAAACAACGATGTTTAAGATGCTTTTTAAATTTGCATATATTTTTTCATTTCACAAAACATATATTTGTTTTTGTGATAACATAAAAGGATAGTATACAAAGCATACAATATTTTATTAATTTATGGATGGATTAATTTTCACTTAACTGCAAAGGTTAACATTAAAATGATATAATTAATTTTGACGTAATGATTTTTTGATTGTAACAATCATTTCTGTTGATCAATCTTGGCACAGATTGACTTCATTTGTTTTTGACGTTTAAGGACGTTCTAATTATTTTTTGTATGTGTGCGCGTTTTTTTTTTTTACTTTTTATTCCTAATATCTACAGAAATTGTAATTTTCATTCACTAAAATGTAATAAATTTGTTACTTACATAGTCATCTTCTGATTCTGGCAAAGACTTCTTATCACTATCACTAATAAAATCAGTTGGTAACAAATTATGTCCAATTTTTGACTGGATCTCTTCATTTAACTTGCTGCTCCTGTAAAGTTATTTGATCTTGTAATTGATTGATTTGATATATTTTCAACATTTAAGTTCAAATTTGATTTTCAAAGTTTCAAAAATATCTTTTTTTTCTAAATTTATGCAAATTTGAGATAATTAAACCTTCGAATATGCTGATTTCTAAGCATTTTATGTATATTATTTCTAGTGGCCGGTATTCCTAAATACAGAAGATACCATTCTACCATAACTCGTGGACAGAGGAACATACAACCAGGAAAATATTTGTAATATTTTTGATAACTTGGCGATTGAAAATCAAATGGATGAATTACTGGATAAATCAGAATCTGGCACTAAAACCAAACTGTTTTTATCGATCAATTGGCAATCAACAAAAATTGATCAAAATGATTGAATTTTAATTATTTTGAAATGAATTTGTGCTACAATCGCATAATTTATAATTTATACGGTTTCATATTTCATATTAAATTAAATTGATAAAGTGTTAATTTAGAATATACAATAAATACTAATTAAAGTCAATCAATTATTTATAAAAAGATAGTACTGAATAAATTGTTTAATTATAAAGTAAAGAGAGAAATTTTAAACGACTAAACAAAAAATAACGCTTACTTTACGATATAAATTTGAAGTTTGTTTTTAATTTAAGCGCACTAAAATTTTCAGTCATTAATTTTTTCAACAAAGATTATTTAATATAATTTTTATATCAAAATTTTTATTTTTTAACTAATAAATTTTATAATTTGAACAATAATATTTGTAAATATATATATGTCATAAAAATAAAATATACTAATTAGAGTATAATTTTGATGCAGGCTGATAATTTTGGATTAATGTGAGTAAAAAATTATTTCACTTTTTTTTTCAACTTACCAATGGCTGTGGAAAGTTTTTCCTTAATTGGCGCTGCGCAATTACAGTTGCTAAATTACCACCTGCGCTATCACCCATTACAATAATTTGATTTCTGTCAATACCATATCTTTTGTAATCTATCATAACAATCTCTTGATAAACTGCTTCACAGTCATGAATTGGAATTGGATAGTGATATTCGGGAGAACGGCGGTAATCCACCGAAATTACAAGTATTCCAAGACGCCGAATGAAGTAAAACATTAGGACATCATAATTAACTGCAAAATTTATTTGTATTATTGATAATTTACAAATTTTAGTTTGCAATCGAAATTAATTAAATTTCAAAATAATTATATGTATTAAAAATGATTATTTGAAATAATCATTTTCATTACATATCATTATTAAATGCGCCAAATCTATCTAGCAATATTTAATTTTACAATATATGTGAGCTTTGTTAAATCACCATATCTTTCTGTAATAATATGCTATTTTAAAATGCATATTTAAATATGAAGGTATTATTAGCATATTACATGGCCTAAGAGTTGCCCATCCTCCTCCATGGAAATATAATATCAAAGCATTTGAACGTCGTTTTTTAGGATAATAAACTCGAACTCTAACATTGTTGATAAATTCAGTACGAATAGTTAACGAGTTGGGACGGTAAAGGTAAAATATACTTGGTAGACAGTAAAGTAATCTCGTTAAGGAGTTTCTCCAAATAGGTCCAAAAATGAAATACACAATTTCCCCCTGAAATCAAGTTTTTCAGTTATTTCATTTTTATAAATTTTTTTCATCACTAGTTATATAATAATTTTACCTAAACTAAATTGATTTTTTCATGAAAAATTCTGATGCATAATAAAAACTTATAATTACAAATTGATATAACAAAGGATTATAAGATTTATTCATTGATATTTGATAATTTTTGAGATATTTTGTTTATATGATCATAACCGAATATCATTGGATTTATATTAGCAAAGTCTAATTAAAATTAATAATTTTTCTAAGTTAATTGTTCTCAAAACAAAATTGATACTTTTAAAATAAATTACTGAAGTATTTAAAACTTTTTAGGATTCATTTAATTGCAAAAGAACGCAAAGTTAATATGTTCAAAGATAATTCAAATAACTCGCGCAGCAAAAAATTTTTGAAAATAAAGTTCTCGAAAAATGAAACTTACTATGATTTCTCGGCCTAATCGAAGTAAGGCATCAAAAATAATTAATTGTAATCGATCAGCTATATCATTTGGGTATGAAAAGAATAAAGCGGAAAATATAATAAAGGATATAATAACTATGTGAAAAGTTGCTGCAAATGTAAGCAAAGCAAGCAGTATGGTCCATTGAATTGTGTGTTCTTCAGAAATAGCTCTCTAAAAAGTCAATTTTAATTATAATTTTACTTTTATAATTATAGTTTAATTTAAGTACATGATGTTTTTTGAGTAATCTAACGTGATACCTAATTAAAATTAATAAATTATCACTTAAAAAACTTTACTTCCTTTGCTACCTGAAAATCTGATTAATTTAGCACACAATCAATCGTTTAAAGTTGGTTTAATAAATAAATAATCAAATTTTAATACCAAATAAAATTTCAATTTTTATTTATAATTTAGAAATACATTCAGCTTCATATTGAACTCAACCAATCCATTTTATGCTAATCTAATCGCATTATTAATCCAACACAAATACTTTCTAACTCAATTAAAGTAATGCATTAAATGCAGGGTAATTTTTGAAAATTTCTTTTCTCTGTTAATTTAATTAATCATTTTCCAATACAAAATTTCGGTTTTTTCAACATTACTAAACGTTTAATACAAAATAAATTTATTAAGTTTGATATGAAAGTAAATATTTTCATGAGCGAATTGCAAGTGTTTTATTTTATTTTGGCGACAAAAAGTTGTTCTATTTCGAAGGAAAAAAATAACATAATAACGTAGTTATTAACGATTATCATTTGTGCTCTAAAATAACCAGTTTTTTAATAAATAAATGAAATTAAAGTTACTTTCATCCATATAATTTGCTAAATTAATGCTAAAACTAACAGTTAATTGTTTTTAAACAGTTAAAAAACAAATTAGTCATCATAACTTAAATGAAATAAAATTATAATTTCATATTATTAGTCTAAGATTTTTTTGTTCAAAGCTAACTGCGCAAAATGAAATGAATCTTTTCAATTTCTCTAAGCTTTTGCTTTCATTTTCAGCACTATAATTTCTGTAAATTTATCATTTTTAGTATAAATAACCTCCAAAAGTGTACCGAACTTTACACCTAAACTTTCACTACTAATTGTATTACTAATTTATTAGTTTTAATCCTACATAAGCCCGCATTTTCTAGCAGTTAATTTTTGATTAAGTCTTTATCTTTTCTTTTATTATTGTAAAATATTATCAAAAATTAATCATTTTCCAATCAATAATTTTTTAGTTAATTTTGATTTAGTAAATTTTTAATAAATAATTCTGTCTGTTCGAGAAAAATAAAACAGTTCATTTATGAAACGTTTAATATTTAACAAGTTTGATATTTGATATTAATACTTAATTATATTTGTAAAAAAATGTGGTACTAATTGTAAAATTTTCTATCTTTAAATCAATTTGGTGAAAAATTCGTCTGAAGTAATTTGTATTGTAGATTTTTTTCAAAACTAAAGCAATGGTCAATAATTTCAAGTTTTTGAATTCAATTATAAATAATGAATTAAAATGTATATATCAAGTCATGTGAGAAGTTTGCATTTAAACTGTTAATGAACTTTAAACTGTTAACTGTTAATGAACTATTATGAAGTAAGACACTTTTACATTCTCACTTTCAAATTCCGTCATGTCAGGTCAGATCATATTGTATGATGGCATTAAATTTGTCGTACAATGAATTGAACTGCAAATATTAGTTTGCAGTTTGCATTTGTAAAGTTTTCATCTTTCACTTGAGATGTATATTTCTGTATCTGTATATTATTTCCGAAATGTATCATTTGTGATTTATGGGTTAGAAAGGTTGCTGATTGATTACTAAACAGGATACTACTTTAATTCTTTTGTTTTAAATTTGATAAAAAGTAAAACAGTTTTAAAATTATGAATTCTATCTAATCTTGTCAAGTCAATAAATTTTTACAAGTGAAATGTGACATAAATAGTTCAAGAAGATTAAGTAAATGATAAAGAACCTGCTGTTGATTGATATTTGTCATTTCATGCATATTTATGCCATTTCCAAATAAGGCACTAATATTATATATAGCAAATATTAAAAGTATTAAATTATTTGTTATAGAAAGAAATCAAAGTGTCAGATTTTGGAAAATCAGTTTTCGATTATTCAATTTCAATATTTAATTTATGCAAGTTTAAATTTTCATATTTAAAATGCTTATCATATTCTTTCAGTAAATTCAACTCGAACGTTATCTACATATCAGTGCTTATAATAATAGCGATAATAATAGTGTTAATATTGATAATAATAATAAATAACAATTAATAATAATAAGAAGAACAATAATAAAAATAATAATAAATAACAATTACGATGAATAACTACCATTATTGTTGTCATTGAATTATTAATAGATGCCTCTTTTATTATCACTATAATTATTATGGAGTATTTGAGAGTATTAAACTCAATCTTAGTACAAAACAGAATATCTAACCTGCATGTCATTGTTGCTAAATGATAAAATAGACATATTTTTGATGTAAATAGGCGGGTCAAGCATCGACAATGACATTTTGCAATGAATTTATTGAAGTGCAATAAGTTCAAAGGTCATTAGGTCAGTGGTAATAAATTACTTAGCTGATTACTTGATCAGAAAATGCTTGCTAGTGAACAGCAACTTAGATAGAATAAACTTTTTGCTTACGCTTGAAAAAAGCTTGATTTATTGTAGGAAATATTCATTCCGCTTTGGAATTCAAATATATGTTTTGATGGAACACAACCTGAAGTGCTGGAACAAATAAATATAAGTATTTTATGCATGGATTTTAGCAACAAGACTACACACAGTCATACACACACATTGCACACACACATTGCACACACACACACATACACACATATATATATATGAAGAAATATTGATGGATGGGAGTGAAGGGATGGTTGGATAAAAGTGTAGTTGGTTATTGGAGAGAGAACAATAAGTGGATGGGTAAGTGTGCTACATAAGTGCAAAATTTGCAATAATACGTGAAGTGACGTGTAAAAGAACAACGCACGAGGACGTGACTAATGATTTGTTAAGAGAAACGGAATACAATTCAAATATTTGCTAATAAAAGAAGTGAGGAAAGCGCAAAGGAAATGAAAATGAAAATGAAGAACTTCCGCTCAATTAATTTTGCAATTTTTGTAAAAGCAAAACCGTAGCAAAAAACTAGTTATTCTGTTATTTAGAATTCATTTACATTTCAAATTTAATTAATATAATGATATGATGTCAGAGGGGTCAGAAGGTTAATCCTGTCTAATTTCAATTTTAAATTAGCACATAAAACAGTTATGCAAGAAAAAAACAGTTCTAAAATCATTTAGAAACAATAATGTATAAGTTTGTTTTTTTTTAATCTTTTAATTTAAATTAAGATAACCAAATTATTTGAAAACAAATTTTCACTTTTACGATTATTACACGATATGTTAAAAATTGCAATTATTCGCATGACATTCGCAAAAGAATTTTACTTTTAAATAATTATTTCATTAAAAATAATGCGAATTTAGAAAGGCATAAAATTTTTACCTTTGCTTTTTAATTTAATTTAAAATTATACTGTAATAGTATGTACCGTTTATTTTTTTATTTTAATTAAATAAAAATATTGCTTTTTTTTACAATTAACAGTCATGAATATATCAGCGATTTTCCTTTGTGGTTTAAGAAAATTAGCTAGGCTTATTTTCATATTAGTAATTGAATTTGAATTTTTTTACTAACTTATAACTTAAATAATACCAAAATACAATTTCTTCTTTGTCAAATTCGGTCATTTTTAATTGCATCTGCAAGATATTAAAAACTTTTTAATCAATCATTTTATATTTTATATATAAAACTTTATTATTTTACGTTCTGATCTATAATTATTGTATTTTATACTTTAAGTTAAGTTTTCATCCTCAATAAAAATGAATAATTCATTTCAGTTATATTTTCCTCTGAAAAGTATTTCAAATTATTTTAAAATAAGCCACTAAATTTGAATTGTTCTTTTTTTGAAAAGTTCTGCAATACTAGCAGTTCGAGAAACAATGTATCCTTCAGTTTTTTGAATGTTTTTTCAAATTTTATATCATTTGATTGGCTAGCTGATTGAAAAATGAATGACAAACTTTAATATATCAATACGCAAAAAATTTGAAAATTTGTTACACTTGTAAAATACTCACAAATCTTCAGTAAAAACAGACCAAAGATCTAGTTTTGAATGTAAGTCATTAGAACTACCAGATTTTCAGGTTAAAATAATTTTAAATTCTAATAAATTGATTTCTAATGCTAAAATTTGCTTTTGTTAAGAGTCAATTTATTATTACAACAAAAACTCCATAAAAATTTTGAAGTTTTTTCTAAAAAATAACAAATTGATTAATTATTTAAACTTATCTATTTTAAAAGTATAACGCACTTTATTACAACATTTAAGCAGCTTTATACTTTTTCACTCTATGATTTTACTTAAGATGCTAAGATTTTCGAATTTTAGCTCGAGCTAAAAACTTACTCAATACTTTTTCCTGTTTAGTAGTTTAATTAATTGGAAACAAAAAATCAATCACTAATAGACTTTTTTAATTTCTACTGATTGGACTTGAAAATTACATTTTAAAAAACTTGCAAATCTTATAAATGAGATTAAACTTATATAAATAAATAAATAAATAAATAACATTTTTTTTAAAAAAGCAAAAGTTCAATTTTATGACACTCTCTCGATTAATGTAAAATTGCTTGTCAGACATAAACATTTTCGATAGGAATTATTTTTGCAGTGCTTATTTCTGAATTCATCAAAGAAAACTTCAATTTTCTCAACTGACAAATTTAGTTTTTACACGTTCGATCTTGTTTTTATTGAAGGTCAAAGGTTTTAAAGTTGTTGCTAAAAGTTATTGCCTTTAAAAATCATTTCACATAAGAAATTTTTTCAATTTTCGTAAAACAATTTTGTAAATAATACATTCTCACATGAAAAAGAATACAAAAATATGACAAATTTTAATATAAGATATTTCATTAGCTTACACTTTCAAATAATTATTAAATATCAAATTTATATAAATATTAAAATAATAGCAGCTAAATTGCTGTTGCATTCAGAATCAGTTCAAAAAAAGATTCACTTAGTCGCCTTTGACTTCTGAAAGTGTCTTTAAGACAGTTTTCATAAACATTTAGCAATATTTTAAATCATTTCTTAGTGCTGCTCACAAATTTGAATTGCTCACAAAATACGGAAATGTGTAATATTTAAATATTTTCATTTTTTTAACATTACAATGCAATGTTTACAGTTGTAATCACAAATTTGCATGTTAGTAATGCGTATAAATGATAAATTTTATGAAAAAAAATAATTAGTTGGTTTATTGAAATGCTCAAATTTGTGGTAATATTTTTGGTAGTAATCCAAGAGTGGGGTGTCACTTCACGTGTATTAAGACTTTCTGGTAGATTGTCAAATGGAAGTGATGTAAGCAGCGGAATCTTATAAATTTTATTTTAAGTTTTTAAAATAATAAACTTATAATTACATTTATACCTAATATTTTCACGAAATATGATTTTACGTCAAATTCAGATTAAAATCAAGTTGACTGAATCACATTTGATCAAAATGTTGTAAATTAGATACCGATCATTGAATGTTATTTGTTTTTGTACAATTTATAAAAATTAAAATTTTTTCAAAATTCAATTTATCTTCATTTTTTATCTCACTTAATTGAATTAATACTTCAGTTTATTTATTAGCACAAAATATAAACTAAAATTTTCAGCAAAATAAATTAAAAATTCTTTTGGATTCATTAAATAAATGTGGACAAAACTATTCTCGAACTCTAGTAAGTGTCTCGAACCACACTGTTACAATCATCCATAGCTGCTGGACTTATAAAACCATAAATATGGAGCAAATAACAAAATTTGACATCGCTTTGATTGATTTTACGATTTTGGTGAATTTTTGTGTTATACAAATCTAGCAAGTTGTATTTTACACAACTTTAGAATTATAAACAAAAAAAATGTGTTTTCGATTTTACTTGAATATTTGCTAAACATCAGTATTTAGAACAATTTATCGCAGTACAATAACTTGTTAATCTCGTCTGAACTTGAAATTTGATTGTTTAGATTACTATTTGATCTCAAATCCATATTCAAACAAAATATTTATTAAATAGATATTTGCACTGAAAGGACAATTTATGCAAAACTATTTTCAGGATTTTAATTGCCAAGGATTTTTATTAGATGCAAATTTGCAAAATTTCACCTTGAAATTTTCAATTTATTGCCCAGAAAATGTTGAACAGATTAATAGCACAAAAAATTTGGATCATCAGGCTGCTCGCCAACCAGATTATCACTATGAGCTGATCTATTTGTTTTCTTCAATACAATTGAATAAATCTGAAAAAGTGGATAATATTTCTAAACATGCGAATGATTTGATCGAATGCCATACCGAAAGAATCCATAAATACGATGAAAGTTAGAACTTCTCTTTATACTAATTCGCATTTTATGCACAGAAAATAGCGAAAATAAAAATGAAATAATAATAACAATAACAATAACAATAATAATCATAAATGTTTATAAATATATATTCATTTTTTAAATGTAAAACCATATATCTTCAATTACAAAGTTGGAGGGAATTTATTGTAAGAATTCAGTTTTTTCAACCAAATATATTGCATCTAAATTATAAAAATTTCAACTTTTTCTTGAAATATTTTACAAAAACTAAATATTTTCTATTACCCAACCAAAATTATATAACCCTTACGTTATTTAGAATACTTTTAATCCAACACGTGATCAATGTGTTGAGCAACAAACTTCTGTAATTGAGTAAATCATATTCATTTTTGCTCAAATATTTGACCCTTTTTAAATATTGTCATCAGGAAATATTCATACTTCTACACAAAATTCAAATATTCAAAACGTGTATTTACAATTTTGTAAATACTGCAAGCTTGCAATTACAGCAGTTATCTTTTAACATTTGTTCAGTTTGTTTTAAAATATCTTGCAATTACTCAGTAATTTTTCGTTTCTAGGCCAATTCAGTTGAAGACTTTGTTAACTTTTTTCAAAGCGAAGAATATTTCAGGAGGTTTGAAAACATTTATAATGTCATTTATTTTATTCATTATTTTTATCAGTTGTATACTTATTGGAATTCGATGGCTATGCAAGCAATTTGAATCGGTATACAAACTCAAAATTTCCATTTCCGCTTATATAAAACTTATTTTCAAAAAAAATATTATTTATACGACAATTAAATACCTGGACATGATTCTGCTAAAAAATTATAGTTATAATTTAATCTGTTAAATTGAACTATGATTTGAAAAAACAAATTAGTACAGTATGTGTATTCGAATTTGTTATGCATATTCTTCAGTACAAAGTGAATAATTAGTTATTTTTCGATGCTTACAAGTTAACGAAATTTTTTTTTACATTTTTAG